ACATTCTCTCTCCCTCTCTCCCTCCACACACACTTTGTTATTATAATTGCTGTTGAACCATTTGAAAGTAAGAAAAGAAATTAAGTTGTAGACATCATGGCACTTCATGCTAAATACTATAGATGTGTCTCTTGAAAACTTTCTACATAATCACAGTCCCATTATCATACCCAAGAAATTTGTTAGTGATATAATAATCTTATTTAATATATGGTTCATATTCAAATTTCCTTAATTGTCCTCATATTTTCCTTTAAAGCTAGACCAGCTTCTACACCTTTTTTTTTTTTTAAGATTTTATTTACTTATTAGAGAGAGAGAGAGTGAGCATGAGCAGGGGCAGAGGCAGAGGGAGAAGCAGGCACCCTGCTGAGCAGGGAGCCCGACGTGGGGCCCGATCCCAGGGCCTTGGGATCATGACCTGAGGCGAAGGCAGCCGCTTAACCAACTGAGCCACCCAGGCGTCCCACCTTTTATTTGTTTTTTAATCTCTTATACCACTGATATTTTCTGAACAGCCCCAGTTACTTATAGAATGTCCCGCAGTCTGGACTTGCCTAATTATGTTGTCATGATTAGAGTCAGGTTGAGCATTTTTGGCAAAAAGACCACAAAAGTGATGGGGTTTATTTTCCATTAGATCATATCAAGAGGCATCATGTCATTTTGTCACTTTATTGGTGATGCTAAATTTAATGACAATGCCATGCATTTTGGCTGAGCCTTATTTGTTTCTGACTTTTAGTACTGTTGAAGTGCGTGGAGCATCGCAGCACTATTCACAGTAGCCAAAAGGTGGAAACAACCCAAATGTTGAATGGTGAATGTCGAACAGATATGATACAGCCATAGAGGGGAATATTATTCAGCCCTAAACAGGAATGAAGTACTGATACATGCTTCAAGATGGATGAACCTCAAACACCTGATATTAAGTGAAAGTCTACAGAAGCTTACATATTGGATTATTCCATTTATATGAAGTATCTAGAGTAGGTAAATCCATAGATATCATGCAGAGTGGTGGTTGCCAGGGGCAAAGAAGAAGGGAATGGGGAGTAACTGCTTGATGGGTACAGGGTTTCATTTTTTTAATTTATTTTTTATTATGTTATGTTAATCACCATACATTACATCATTAGTTTTTGATGTAGTGTTCCATGATTCATTATTTGTGTATAACACAAGGTTTTATTTTTGAGTGATGTAAGTATTTTGCAACTAGGTAGAAGTGGTAGTTGTACAACATTGTGAATGTATTAAGCACCACTGGATTGATTTCTTTAAAATGGTTCATTTGTGTTATGTAAGTTTCACTTCAATAAAAAAAAGGGGGGGAGGCAGCTTCCTAATGATGTAGAGGAAGTAGAATCTGTGGGCATGAAGTTATAATAGAGTATGAATGATAAAGGCTGGCTTGTGGTTTTCTTTCTTTTTTTTTTTAATTTTAATTTTTTTTTTGACTTGTGATTTTTTATTCAACATATACCTCGGTCGAAGCAACTAAAATTCAGGCCTTCCGGGCAACTTGGTTTGTGGATCAAGACAATTTTAAAAAAGTATCAGCATCAGTTTTGAGAACTGCGCAGTATGTTGGAGTAGACTTTTGTATCTTTTCTCTTTGACCTCCAATTCAGAAGAATCATGTTACCTTGGATTGCTTAGTGGGATAAAAATAGAAAAGAGAGGTGATCCGGTCACCTAGTTTTTTTAGTGTTTTCTTCTTTCAATCTAATTTAGGATCACGGGATTTAAAAAGCTATTTTGGTGCTGCTTATGATATGAAATAGTAAAGAATGTATGCAATGTATGAAGTGGGAGTTTAAATTAGACCAACTCCTTTGGATCGTAAGGAATCAAAGTGTATCAAGTGACAAAGGTGTTTCTGCTTGGTGATCCAGGGTTTTACTGACTGTCCTCTAGAAGTAAATTAAAATGCAGGGGAAATGTTATGCAGGATTATGTTTATAGAGAAAATTTGTTAGAAGCCCACATTTTCAAAAAGAAAAGGATGGTTGAATTAGTATTGCCATTCAATGGAATGTGAATCAGTCATCAAAAATACCATTTTTGAAGAGGTTGTAATACGAAATTTATAATATAAAACAGCTAGTGTGAGATCATCATAAGAGATACAATACAGAAATTTAAAAAAAAAATGTGATCAACCATGTTAAGGAAACATAACCTGTTCATAGGGGAAAAAAAAAAGACCACAAAGAAAATTTTATCAATACTTTTGTTGAGTGACAAGAATGTGGGTGCTATTTTATCTGCTTTTACTTTTTGCATTTTCTAAACGTTTAATAGTAAATACAATTGCTCTAACAATGGCTTCCATTTGTCAAGTGCTTTCTGTGTGCCAGGCACGATGGCATGTCTACATTTATTTCCCCACGGTCCTTGGAGGCGGCTGCTTTCCTTAGCTCATCTCACAGGTAAAGGCATTAAGGTTCAAGAGGTAAAAGAACTCGCCCCAGGTTAGGCAGCTAGCTGGTGGCAGATTCCTAACATAAGCAGTCCAATTCCAGATCCATGTTTTAACCATCATCCATGCAGAACGCTTAGTGGCTGTTAAACATAGATGCAGTATGTATTCAATTAGTGCGTGTGTGGTTGGGTTAGTGGAATACCGAATTAGTAGTCTGGGGACTTTATTTCTGGATCTGCTCTTGACTCCTTCTGTGGTTCAAATTAAGTTACTGTGCTTTTTTTCTCAGTTTCTCCATCATTATAATAAGGAAAACAGAACCTCCCATTTGCCTGATTTCTTATGCTTATGAGCCTGCCTACGTGCTTGTAATAAATATTTGTAAGTTTATGGTGCTGTTGCCATGAGCTAAGACTAGTTTGGTTTTGTAAGAAAAAGAAAGTGTGTGGGTTTAAGAGTTAGGCAGATCCAGGTTCAAGTCCTTTGGACCCTCAGAATCTTTGCGCCTCAGTTTCCACATCTGCAAAATGGGGACAGTACTATGTACCTTGAGGGTTGTGAGGAGAGAAAATGACATTGCCTGGCAGTTGGTCTCCACTCAGCAACTGTCCTCTCCCGTCTCTGCTCCATCTCAGCTCACCTGACCTAGAGTAGAGTACAGAGTAATGAGACCTACCAAAGTTTCTTGTACATTTTGGACACATTTTAGTAAAATAAAGAGAAAATTAACCAACAGCGGTAAATTGTCAGCACTCAGACCTGGGTAGAGGGAAGCAGGTGAAGCAAAATGAAATGATCCTGGTAGGAATGAGGGCAGAGGACACTCTTTTTGGCCGTGCTTCTGGAATCATGCTGGCTTTTCCAGAAAGCAACAAAACACTCCACGAAGGGGTAGAGGGCACATACTTCCTTCACCTTTCATGTGCTTTTCTTTAACAAACTTTAACCTACCCTGGAGAGAGCAGGTCATTCCTCTTATGGGGGTCAATTTTATATTTAGGTTAAATCTATACTGGGATATTTACTGATTTACATGTCTCCAGAAATATAAATATATGTTCTGTTTTCGGCCAAAAAAAAAAAAAAAATTGTATCTACAAAACTGTGATAGATCAAGGTGCTGTTAATCAGATACCATAATGGATGATTTGGGGACAAAACTCTTTGTAATAAAGTTGATAGGGAGTAGACAGGACTTTGGGCGACTGAAGTCAGCTCTAAAACCAAGACTGCAGCACCTAACAGAAGAGGAAGACCCAGTGGCACTCCTTGAAGTCATGGGTGGCATTTACTGAGCGCTTACTGTGTGCCAAGCTTTATGACTTTATGCTCCCCTCCTCCTTTCTCATTAATATTTCTCTCCCTCTCTTTTTATTTTTTATTTTTTTTTAAGATTTTATTTATTTATTTGACAGAGAGATAGCGAGAGCAGGAACACAAGCAGGGGGAGTGGGAGAGCGAGAAGCAGGCTTCCCGCTGAGCAGGGAGCCCAATGCGGGGCTCGATCCCAGGTCCCTGAGATCATGACCTGAGCCGAAAGCAGACGCTTAATGACTGAGCCACACAGGCGCCCCTCCCTCTCTTTTATTTATTTATTTGAGAGAGAGCATGTGAGTGGGGGTGGGAGAGGCAGAGGGAGAGGGAGAGAATCTTAAGCAGGCTCCCCACAAAGCGTGGAGCCCAAGACCCAGGGCTCAATCTCAGGAACCTGAGATCAGAACCTGAGCCGAAATCAAGAATTGGATGCTTAACCGACTGAGCCACCCAGGCGCCCCATATTTCTCTTCTTATAAATATTTTTTAGTATCATAGCACAGACATAAAAAAAAAATGTCTAGCTTAGCTTAATGTGTTACTTTAAGGCAAACATTCTCGTCACTACTACCCAGGTCAAGTGTTCTCCATTCTTGCTTCATGTATTTTGAAGCTATGTCATTCGGTGCATAAACAATTTGGATTTTGCTTTGTCATAATGAAATGTTGCAAGTAGTGAAAGATGAACTAAGGCTCCTACGCTATTTCTGTTTCTGGCAACAGAGTTCCTGAAAACGGAGTTTGTTGCTAGAATGTTCCCTCTTTGTGGGCACATAAATAATGACTGCTCAGCAAGGTAAATACCTGTAGTAGGAACTCCTCTGCATCCCTTCTTTCAGCAGTGATTCCTCCACATATCATGTCAGGGAGGCGCTGTACGCCAGGGACTTTGAGAGTGGACTATGGATTTAGATCAACCACTTCCTTTCTGTGGGGCTTGGTCAGTTCATTTAACCTCTCTATGCCATTTTCTCTTCTACGAAAAGGACCATGGCTGCTTCATTAATACTGTAGCTATATAAGGATTACATGAAAATATTTTGGCAGAGTACATAATACAGTACTTGGCATATAGTCAATATTCAATAAATGTTAAATAATACTGTATCATTGCTGTCTTGTCATATTGGACTGAGGCTCAGTTTAACGCACTTTTTGTATTAATTAAATCCCCCTGCCATGGACCACTGATTATATAGTACAGTGAGCAGATGCTAACTAACTCTGATTCCTGAGGTCTCTCCCTTTCTTACAGCACAGGTGTGCATTGGAATCATCGTGATACTGATCATATACAACTGTTGGTTCCTCTATGTCCCTTATATGACATGGCTTTACTTTGACTGGAGTACCCCAGAGCAAGGAGGCAGGAGATCCAAGTGGGTCAGAAGCTGGACCATTTGGAAGTATTTTAAGGACTATTTTCCAATTCACGTGAGTAGAATTGTTTTATGTTGTAGTATCTGGAGCTGGGAGAAGAATGGAAATTTGTTTTCATCACAGGTAATTCAAGCTTTTTTCTTTTCAGAGAGAGAAAGCCTGCAAATCAGCCCAAATTACTAAATAGGATCTAAGCTAAATTGACACCATTTCGAAGGCTATGTGTGGGGGGCTCTGGGCTCAGGAAATAGTTTGAAAATTTGGAAAAAGCTCTAATGCAGAGAACTAAACAAGTCATGTTTCCCATTTCCTTTTTTTTAAAAAAATATTTTATTTGAGAGAGAGAGATAGCGAGAGAGAGCATGAGCAGAGGGGAGAGGGAGAAACAGGCTCCCTGCCAAGCAGGGAACCCAATGTGGGGCTCGATTCCAGGACCCTGAGATCATGACCTGAGCCAAAGGCAGATGCTTAACTGACTGAGCCACCCAGGCGCCCCTCTATTTCCTTGTGACATAAAAACTAATCATGAGTTTCTTGGTTTCTTACTGGAATCTAATCTGGACCATTTTATTATTTTTTTAATCCCACTATATACTGTAGCTCATCAAAACTTGGGATTTGGATCCAAGTCACAACTATATATTTGGGTTTCACCCCCATGGAGTGCTTGTTGCTGGAGCCTTTGGAAATTTTTGTACAAATTATTCGGACTTCGAGGAGCTGTTTCCTGGCTTCACCGCATATCTTCATGTGCTCCCATTTTGGTTCCGCTGTCCTCTCTTTCGAGAATACCTGATGACCAGTGGTAAGTGAAGGCAAATCGTTATTTCTCCAGTGTTCTAGGGTGGCAGGACCACACCTCCCAAACACAGGTTTACAGTTTCTTAGTACAACCCTGTGTCTGTATCCCTGTCTGATACTTCCCATGCTGCTTGGATGATTCTTGCCTCCCCGACTGGACTGGAAGTTCCAGGACGACACAGACCATGTCTTTTTCTTTTTTTTTTTTCCCACCCCTTTCTAGCATAGGGCCTGGGATATAGGAATATTCAATAGATGTTAATTCAATGAAAGAATAAATTGATGAATGAATTTTGTGTATCCAGATGTGGAAGAAAGAATCTTGGGTCAAACAAGTGATAGATTGCACCTTTGGAAAAGCACTTTGCCTGCGTTTGTGAGCATTAGAGATGGAAAATGTCCTCCAATATGTCTTGAAGTGATGGCCGTATATAAATGAAGCATACTTAATCTGTCTCTTTCTTCCCAGATTAAATAGAACTTGACTCAGAAATGAGTTCATTCTACTCTGCTCCTCTGAGCTAGTGGAAGACTCTTTGGTTAATGAAACCATAATTCTACCAATTCCAAGAACAAAATTTAGCTGAAATGCTATAAAGACACTATATGAGTGTCCACAGAGGCTAAGCTTGTGTTAACAATTCTCACATCAATTTGAGGGGTTCAGCTTATTTGGTTTTCTAACTTGACCTACTTACTGACTCAGCGTGAACTGCAGTACCTTACAAAGTGCTTTATGTTTATTGTCTACATTAACTATTGTTGTCTTGCATTTCTTGGATATAAAGAAAAGTGGATAGTCTCTTTTTGAAAATTTGTAATTTCAAAAAAAAATTTACAATTTCAGGATGAGTAAGTAGATATTCAGAGATAGAATTTTCCAGGCTCTTCCAGGTTTTCATTACTTCCTGTTAATTTCTCAATTATTGTCATTGAGAATGACATAATGTTGTCATTATATACCTGATAGGAAATCACTAAGCACCAGAGGACCAGGATCCCTGGCTGGGTTTTCAAGGTTCTGTGTATGGACCTTCACCCATATGGCCCTCGGCTCTTGGTCCAGTCTGGCTGTCACTGCGTCTGACCTCTAGAGGGAGCACCAAACCTCCAAACTACTATAGAGGCAAAAACAAAAACAAAAAAACCAAAAAACCCTTCCTTGTTTTGCCGACATCGATTGGGTTAGTTTTATAAAAGGAAAAAAATTAAAGGGAAATTTTTTAAATTTCAGAAAAGCACAGAAATACATTTACAATATACTGTTTGCTGATTCCAGCCACAAGTGAGGTTGGGTAGTGGTAACTGAGAGTAGGTGTGGCAAATTTATGGTACAAGAGATGTAGGTACACCCCTCTCCGTGGCCACGTCAGATACATATAATCAACCTTAAGAGTCTTTCTCTCTATATATAGTGCCCTCAGAGTCATTGCCATTTGCTTGAGCTGGCATTTGAGATTAAACTTGTCTGTTCTTTCTGGCTTTTGATATCATGAGATCTTTTCCTTTTCACTATAACCTGAGATATCCTAGAAGCTAAATAAAAATATCCACATTTGTAGCTGGTAGAGTTTCAGGGCATCCTTATCTCAAAATTTGGAGAGTTCTCAATTTTTTCCTAGAACCAGCTTCCAGGACAGGCGCTGGCCCAAGGCTGCCCTTTTACTCTGTGCCTTCCTTGGTGGTTGCCTCTCTGGGTATGAAAGACAGACAGACATGTGTACCAAACCTCATGTAGTAAAGAAGCAATAGAGTTTCAGAGGTCCTTTGCTGACCAGTGCCTGTTTTGCTCTTACCCATGGGATTTCCGTCACTCTAAGTCCCTGTAAGTCCCCCCTCCAGACTTTTTCTCTTGGTCCATTTTGGCGACTCTCTACTCATCAGCTGTCAGCCAGGGCACATTCTGTGTTTTGAGGCTCACGTTCCTTCCCATGTGCCCAGTAAGGCTCTGCAGGTAGCAGAGATCAGATCACAACAGCCACGTAGAGCCCAGAGGAGGTCGATATGAAGAACAGCTGATGGATTCGACAAGACATAGTGATTGTTGCGGCCTCAGGAAGGTAGCAACTGTGTATGTCGTATGATCAGCATCTAGCCCAGTGCCTTGCCTGGAGCAGGTGCTCAACAAGTGTTTTGAATGAAGGAATGAGTGGAGTCAACATGGTTGCTAAGAAGACGGGAATATGTTTGGGAGGAACCTACACCTCTGACTTGCGTGCCAAGGTAGATGATGGTCCCACTCACCTTGAGGGGTAATGTTGCAGGAAGAATACAGTGCATTGGGTCTGGAAACATGGAGTTTGAGGTGTCTTTGAGTTGGCAAGGTAGACACGTCCATTGGGCCATTGGGAAGTGTGGGTGTAGAGCCTCAGGAAGAAGAGGTCCCAGGAGATAGATTTGGGAGAACTCAGCACACATAAGTGGTATTTGAATCCATGTATGTAGATAACATTAGAAGGTGTTAGAGACTATGAAGGAGCCTGTCTTAGTACAGCCTGCTATAACAGAATGCTACTGACTGGGTGACTTAAATAATAGACATTTATTTCTCGCTGTTCTGGAGGCTGGATGTCCAAGATCAAGGCGCTGGCAGATCTGGTGTCTGGTTCGAGCTCCTTTCCTGGCTTGCGGGCAGCCATCTTGTTATGTCCTCACATGACGGAGAGACAGCACCCTCCCCCTCTTCCTCTTTTTATAAGGACACTGATCCCATCTTGGGGGCTACGTTCTCATGACCTAATTACTTTCCAAAGGCCCTACCTCTTAATACCATCCTACTGGGGATTAGGGTTTCAACATAGACATTTTAGAGGAATACAAATATGTAGTTCTTAGAGCCCTAAGACATAGTAGCAGTTAGTAAAGGGAGCTCAGAGAAGGAACTGAGAAGTGGCCAGAGGAGGGCCGGTGTCTGGAAACTCAGAAGGCCCTCTTTCCAATGGAAGTTATGCCTCCAGCTCCCACTCAGGGCATGCAGAGTAGAATGGCCATGCCTTGAACCCAGTAGAAGTTCAAACCCGTTGAGACTCAGGTACTCTACCCTCTAACCCACCACCCTCTGCCTCTTTAGTAGGTGGTTGCTCACTCAGAATCCTGCATTATTTTATATTCCCCCAGTAATAGGCACTTACAGTAAAATGAGCATATAATTGTCCTTTGAGAAATGAGGTATGTTGTGTCTTAATAAAGCCTGTCTGACACATTCTCTTATGACTCAAAAAATGGATAAAGCCATGAATGAAAGGAAACAATAAAACTTTAAAAAGCAATTATCTCTTTAATACAGGTCACGAGTGGCTTGTATTTTCATATTTTTTTCCCTGTAAGAGTTCATGGCCTTTTCCTCCAAGAGTACATAGTACATTCAAAATCTGAAAAGGAATCTTTAAAGTTATTTTTATGTGGGAAAGCCTGGTACAAAGACCAAACAATTATATAACTATCTTAAATAAACAATTTATCAAAGTCAGACTAGACATTTTGGAACCATGTAAAGATCTGGTTATTTGTCAAATGTCTGAATTTTTGAAATAAATCATTTACATTATAAATCTAGGTTTGGGAAACAAGAATCCACACAAAATATCTGAAAACAGGCCCTTGTGTGTTCAGAAGATCCAGTGAAACCTCCTCTAAAGGATATGCTTTTTGGTTCTGAGCCAGGATTCACCAGGGTAGTGATCAAGGTCACCACGTACAGCTATGCAGGTTGTGCACTGAACAAGTGCAGAGGGCACCTTTCACTTATAGTGCAATATGAATAGAATCCATAGAGTTGAGCAGCGTACAACTTACCCAAATAAGTGGTAGATCTAATAACAAATGACATTTTAAAGACCTAACCCAATCACCTGACAAAATGTTATATTTTATGAATGGAATATATTACCAAAGATCCGGCTGTGACAAAATTTTAAGCAAGATGTTCTAGGGAGTTTTGTTAAATGTTCACTGATGCCATTGAATATTAGGAGAGAAATATTTTAATTTTTAAGATAAATACTTAGCCCTTTTGTTTTATTCATTAAGGGTCAGTCTCAGTTTCTAAGAAAAGTGTGTCCCATGTGCTGAGCAAGGAGGAAGGTGGAAACATTTCAGTCATTGTTCTTGGGGGTGCAGAGGAATCACTGGATGCCCATCCTGGAAAATTCACTCTGTTCATCCGCCAACGGAAAGGATTTGTTAAAATTGCTTTGACCCATGGGTAAGTAGCTTCTCATTTCAGGTACCTGGGTCAGAGAAGTTAAGATGTTATTAAATGAACACAAAAAAATAAAGTAATTTCTCCAGTCCTTAAACACAGACTTCCTCTTAGCTGACCTTCAAATAAAAGCAGATGTGGATGTTCATGGGAAATGGCATACAGCGTTCCCCCTAAGGTAGTGCAGTGCCATGGCATCCAGAAGTTAAACTCACCTTTAAAAACAAAGCAAACAGGAGCAATTGGGTGGCTCAGTCTGTTGGGCATCTGCCTTCAGCTCAGGTCATGATCCTAGGGTCCTGGGATTGAGCCCCACATTGGGCTCCCTGCTCAGCAGGGAGTCTGCTTTTCCCTTTCTCTCTGCCTTTCCCCCTCCTATGCATTTTCTCTCTCTCTCAAGTAAATAAATAAAATATTTTTTTAAAAAAGCAAACAGGGGCATCTGGGTGACTCAGTCGTCAAGCGTCTGCCTTTGGCTCGGGTCATGATGGGATCAAGCCCCGCATCGGGCTCCCTGCTCAGTGGGAGGCCTGCTTCTCCCTCTCCTACTCCCCCTGCTTGTGTTCCCTCTCTCGCTGTCTGTCTCTCTGTCAAATAAATAAATAAAATCTTAAAAATAAATAAAAATTTTAAAAAGCAAACAAATAAAAAGTACAAAATTTTATATACAGAGTATAAATTTCCAGCCAAATGAACAAACAAATCATGGTCTGGACTCTAGGTGGAAAGGAAGCTTCCCGGAGCCTTGATTTTTCTATGGAATAAAATACCACGAATTGCTAAGCTGCTGAAGTACTGCCCCAAAGGATTTCTTTCTTTCTTTTTTTTTTTTTTTTAAGATTTTATTTATTTTTTGACAGAGACACAGCAAGAGAGGGAACACAAGCAGGGCGAGTGGGAGAGGGAGAAGCAGGCTTCCCGTGGAGCGAGGAGCCCGATGCAGGGCTCGATCCTAGGACTCTGGGATCATGACCTGAGCTAAAGGCAGATGCTTAACGACTGAACCACCCAGGCGCCCTGCCCCAAAGGATTTCAAGTATAAGTCAGCTTCATTGATTGGAACATGAAATTAGCAGTATAGGGAGACATGGGAACATTGAAAAATTCTTGGCTCAGTGATTCATCAGTACCGTACAACACCCAGTGCCCATCACAACGCATGCCCAATCGTTGAACACTGCATCAAAAACTAATGATGTACTATATGCTGCCTATTTGAACATAATAATTAAAATAAATGAATGAATAAAAAGATTGAAAGAAAAAAAGAAAAATTGTTGGGATATGTTGCAAAAGTCATCTGAACAGAATAAAATACTTAAATCATTTTCCTTAAAAATTTGTATTCTTCCGCTTTGTTTGTAGTGCCTCCTTGGTCCCAGTGTTTTCTTTTGGAGAAAATGAGCTATTTAAACAAGTTAACAACCCTCAAGGCTCATGGCTTCGAACTGTGCAAGAGAAGCTACAGAAGGTCATGGGGTTTGCTTTGCCGCTGTTCCACGCCAGAGGAATTTTTCAATACAATTTTGGCCTGATGCCCTATAGGAAACCTATCCACACTGTTGGTATGTATATCGAAGACTAAAGACTTCTTAGAATAAGTAAAAGTATTACCTTACTTTGAGCAATGTTATTGTTATTGATTGCAGGGCTAATGCAAGGGAAGGGGCTTTGAGTAAGAACTTCCTAAAATAAGAATCCTGTAGATGTGACTTGAGCTTCATTTATGGCATGCCTTTTAGCTAGAAATGACTGTATTTTCCACTTGGAAATTGATTACTTTCAAGAATACTACTATTGAACTACAACAGGGAGAATCCAATTTAGACATAAAGTTCCTAGTATTCTATATGAATCTATTTCTCTGTACCAGCAGATTGTAACGTAGCAATTCTTTGATGAACACATTACATCAGTCTATTAATCGACGCAGATTTCTGTGTAATAGAAATCTTCATTGTGTGCAATTCACCTAGGCACTAGTTTCTGTAGCAAAAGCATTTTGGGGGGCCTCTCGCTGTTTTTATATGTATTCTAACATGAACTGATTTTATTTTAAAAAGTGGTACATTGGGGGGAATTGAGATGGGGGAGGAAGGTGACAGATTGTCGATGGAAGGACTGAGGGGCAGAGTAATTAGCTCTTCACACAGAAAGTGACCTGGATTGCTGAGCAGAAGAAAGTGCAGAGCCAGATCCTAATAGCACAGTTAACCAAACTGTATACTTCATCTGAAACTGGACGTAAAAGTTTCACCATGGTAGTCCATTAAATGACATTCAAAATGTTTTTAGATCTGTTTCATTAGAATGGGATTTTACTGTTTACTGTCAGTTTCTGAGAGCTTTGCATGTCACGTGCAGTCACATGACACTTTTTTTTTTTTAAGATTTTATTTATTTATTTGAGACAGAATGAGAGAGAGAGAGAGCACATAAGAGGGGGGAGGGTCAGAGGGAGAAGCAGACTCCCTGCCGAGCAGGGAGCCCGATGCCGGACTCGATCCAGGGATTCCAGGATCATGACCTGAGCCGAAGGCAGTCGCTTAACCAACTGAGCCACCCAGGCACCCCACGTGACACTATTTTTAAATGAGGTATTTAATTCAAATGGAATGTTAACAGACTGTTGATTAGTTAGTGTAATGGGAACCCAGAGATGAGTTTGCAATTGTGTTTTTCCAAGATAAGCTGATTATATTTCTTTGGCATAATATATATATATATATATATATATTTTTTTTTTTTAAAGATTTTATTTATTTATTTGAGAGAGAGAATGAGATAGAGAGCATGAGAGGGGGGAGGGTCAGAGAGAAGCAGACTCCCTGCTGAGCAGGGAGCCCGACATGGGACTCGATCCCGGGACTCCAGGATCATGACCTGAGCCGAAGGCAGTCGCTTAACCAACTGAGCCACCCAGGCGCCCCTGGCATAATATATATTTTTTAACCAGATAATCCACATGGGTTAGACCATGATTTTTCTTTGTTGTAATATTAAGTAGTAATTTTTGGTCCCTTATGTGCAAAGTACTGTAGTTGGCCTTTTTGGGGATATGAGGAGAATTGAAAGACATGATTTTTAGGAGCTAAAAGTTTAATTAAGTATAACTCATACACACATGAAGTAAGTTGCCGATGTTGAAAGCCAAGTGTATTTTGTTGATTTAAATGATTATAGTTATCGCCTGGTGGGGGTAAACTGTAGTTTTAAGTAAAGTGGTCATCATATGATACAGCCTAATTATAACTCTACTGACAATTAATTGGTCAAGGGTCAAATGGAAATGACCGAATCGGAATTTGTTGTTGCGACTAGAAAACCTAGAACTCTGGTCTTCACTTGTGCCTGTCTAACTCGTTTTTCTTCAAGACTTAGAATAAGAGAAAATTGCTTCAGTCCGCTCTTCGGCCTACCTCCCAAATGATCACATCAGAAATAGCATATCTAGTCTCTAGCATCCTCAGTATCCTGCTGTTATTTGAAGCCTTTTAAAAACCAAGCTGAGAGGGCGCCTGGGTGGCTCAGTTGGTTAAGTGACTGCCTTCGGCTCAGGTCATGATCCCAGGGTCCTGGGATCAAGTCCCGCATCGGGCTCCCCCTTCTCTGCGGGGAGCCTGCTTCTCCCTCTGCCTGCCACTCCCCTTGCTTGTGCTGTCTCTCTCTGTCAAATAAATAAATAAAATCTTTAAAAAAAAAAACAAAAACAAAAAAAGCAACCTGAGAATCACAGACCTGTACCTCTGAAACAAATAATACATGATGTTAAAAAAAAAGATAGTAGGAAGGGAAAAATGAAGGGGGAGAAATCGGAGGGGAAGATAATCCATGAGAGACTATGGACTCTGAGAAACAAACTGAGGGTTTTAGAGGGGAGGGGGGTGGGGGGGATGGGTTAGCCCAGTGATGGGTATTAAGGAGGGCACGTATTGCATGGAGCACTGGGTGTTATACACAAACAATGAATCATGGAACACTACATCAAAAACTAGTGATGTAATGTATGGTGACTCACATAACATAATAAAATAAAATTAACAACCCCCCCCACACAAATTCTCAATATAATAATATTTGTAATAGTGAAAAATTATATCCTACATCTCTAATAAGGAAGTTGATAAATAAATGGTGGTTTATCAATAAAAAAAAAAACCAATCTGAGAATATGAACATTTATATAAAATCTCAGCTACCATGAGTTTGATTTTATGGTGGCAGAGTGGGAGTCAGACGGATTAAGAGCAACCTGATTTGGGTGAACCAGACCCTCACAGACTATGTGCATCTAAAGACTTTTATTTGGGGAATGCCTGGCTGGTTAGTTGGTAGAGCACACGACTCTTGATCTATGGGTCAGGAGTTCAAGCCCCACGTTGGGTGTGGAGCCTCCTTAAAAAATAAATAAATAAAATGAAGACTTTTATTTGAATAACACACGTGAGGATAGAATATAGACAATTCCATAAACAGAAGCAAAGCTACATATCAATCCAGTGCAATGCGATATGGTGACAGTGATCTAAGTTACTATGTTCAGTTCTGTTTTAAATCAGTGCACTTCAAACTCAGAGTTCTTTGCTGACTTGCTGACACGGCCCAGGCAGATCAGGTGGAGTCGAGACCAGCGAGTTATTTTGTGGTCCTTCTGCTCCCCTCCCATTTAATTAAGAGTTTGTGAACTTAACTCTACCTCATAAGAACTCAGTTAATATTAGTTCAGTTAGTTAAATCATCATTTCACCTATAATCCTTGCACCCACAGCTGTCTGGAGATGCTCAGGTTCTCCATCGTACAGCTTCCCCCCACAGCTGTGAGACCTCCCTTCCTCAGTGACCTCAGAGCATTCATTTCAGTGTTAGTGATTCTCAAATACAGTGAGAATCACTAACACTGTAAGGGTTTTGTCTGTTAATACCCTACTAATTAAATCCTCTTAAAAATGTGTTCTCATTGAATCCAAAGTGCCATCATCAGGTCACACTTAACCCTCTCTTCATATTTCTTATACTACACCTGGCCAAACCATCAGGTTTCTCTGCATCCTCCATCAAAACCATCTTTCCTATTTTTTTTTTTTTTAAGATTTTATTTATTTGAGAGAGAGCGTGCATACACAAGTAGGGTGAAGGGCAGAGGGAACGGGACGGGCAGACTCCTCACTAGCGTGGAGCCTGGGGCTTGATCCCAGGACCCTGAGATCATGACCTGAGCTGAAGTCAGATGCTTAACTGACTGACCACCCATCTTTCCCCTTAGCTGGGGGTCACTCACTGGAAATAATTTGTAAAGAAGATACCATATATTAGCATCTGCACAGCAAAGGAAACAATCAGCAAAACTAAAAGCCTCTGGAATGGAAGAAGATATTTCCAAATGACATCTCTGATAAAGGGTTAGTTCCAAAATATATAAAGAAGTTATACAATTTAACTCCCAAAAAACAATCCAATGAAAAAATGGGCAGAAGACATGAAAAAAATGTTTCTCCAAAGAGGAAATACAACTGGCCAACAGACACATGAAAAGGTGCTCGACATCACTCATCATCAGGGAAATGCAAATCAAAACTACAAAGAGATATCACCTCACGCCCTTCAGAATGGCTAAAATAAAAAACACAAAAAACAACAAGTGTTGGTGAGGATGTAGAGAAAGGGGAACCCTTTGTGCTGTTGGTAGGAATGCAGACTGGTGTAGCCCCTGGGGAAAACAGTATGGAGGTTCTTCAAAAAGTTGAAAATGGAACTACCTTATGGCTCAGTAATTGCACTACTGGGTATTTACCCCAAAAAATACAAAAACACTAGTTAAAAGGGATACAAGCACCCCTGGGTTTATTGCAGCATTATTTACAACAGCCAAGTTATGGAAGCAGCCCACATATCCATCTATAGATGAATGGATAAAGAAGATGTGGTGTATATATATTGTGGAATGTTATTCAGCTGTAAAAAAGAATGAAATCTTGCCGTTTCCAACAACATGGATGGAGCTAGAGAGTATAATGCTAAGCAAAATAAGCCAAAGGAAGACAAATACCATATGATCTCACCATATGTGGAGTTTAAGAAACAAAACAAGCAAAGAAAAAAAAGAAACCAAGAAACAGTCTCTTAGCTATAGAGAATGGACAGAGGAGAGGTCAGTGGGGGGGAATGGAGAAATAAGTGATAGGGATTAAGAGGACACTTGTGATGAGCACTGAGTAATGTATAGAAGTGCTGAATATTGTACAACTGAAACTAATATAACACTATGTTAACTATACTGGAATTAAAGTAAAAAATTTAATAAAAAAGTAAAAAAAGAAGATACCATATATTTTCTTTACACATTTCACAAATAGTATGTAATTTATATATTTTGTTATTGTCAGTTTATCAAAATATAATAAAATGTTCACATATATTGTGTTTCATTACATAAATAATAGAGAGAAACTGATTTAAATATCACATCCATCATGATACCCAGGATGGGTAATTGAAAGAAGTTTAGACTCTAAGAACAATGTGTAAAGAATTGCAGTTCCTTGGAATTGCTTTGTTTGTTTCTACA